GTAGAAAGGTTTATTTCTCAAATCAGTGACTTTAGTGTCATATTGGCATCATGGATCCATCCTGGCAATAAAACATCACTAAGTATGTGTGGGTGTTTGCACGTGAGACTACATATGCATCTTATCATGTATGCATGCACACACATACTTGTGTGTGTACAGACATTTATATACACACATATATCCATGCTTGACCATTTTAGTTACAAAAGACAAAATTTAGTCTTCAGTTTTTAAAATCTTTCAGCAGTTTATTAGTTATACCACTGAAATTTTCGAAATAAAAGTTATTGGATCAATTTTTTTTGGCAAGAACCACAGGATGTAAGTAAATGCCATGTACTGCTATATATATAGAGCTCTCTATCTTAATTTATATTTTTATTTAATGTTTTTAATGTTTAATTAACCTTAAAATTTTCATTGTCTAAGGATGAAATACAAAAAAAAAGCAGTTTTAAATTCTATTTATGTCATCCACTTGTAAGGGTGGAGGGAAAGCAGAAGAAAAACAAAATAGCAGTCTGTTGTGGGTGGATATATTTTAATGACAAAACGATGACAGAAGAATTATGGCAAGCTTGGAATCTTATTAAATAGGATCCAGCTGAATTTATTGGACAGGAAGCAGTAGAACAATGTCCAAGCAAAAGAAAAAGGACTTATGATCAAAATATTATTCAATTTTTCTAGAAATATATGGGATTTTTAATAAAAATATGCATATGTGCACCTGTAGTTTTTTAGATAGACTATATATATAAGGTAGAGAAAAATATCCCAACAAATTCTAAGTTATTTTCTCTCTATGTAACCCCACTTGGATGAAGATAAAACAATATTCATACAAATATTGTGAGAAAAATGTTCTCCTATAATATACAATGTTTTCAGGATGGAGAATTGACATAAAGTTTGCAGAAAATATCATTTCTATTCCCAGTTTGGACTGATTACTGAATCAAAGCAATTCAGAAAAGTATACCTTCATAGGTATTGCCATAAACAAGTTTACATGAAAGCTGGCCATTCCCTAGGCAGTTAAGGGAAGATATGTTGACACTCAATGAGATTTAACTGGCATATAGTCAGAAAGACAGCATATGAAGAGTGTATAAAGAGCATATAAATAGTTACAGTGGTTGCAGTCAATTAAAACAGGGTAGACATTCCTATACCAGAACCAGGATGACAAAATTGCTTATCAATATTAAAAAAAAAATAAAATAAGTGAAAGTTTAATAATTTAATAAGGATGAAGGATCTGGATCATCCTTTATTTGCCCATGGTGTAGCTGCTGGGTACGTATAGCCAGCTACAGAGGGAAGGATTTTCAGAATCCTGGGGAGCAGGTCCACCACCCATAACTCTGCTTTAGTGTATGTAGATGCAGGGTTGCAGCCCTGTCTCCCTTATTCATGCATTTTGTGTGCACACAAATATTCACAGAACTGAAAAAATTTTAAGAGGAAAAAAAATCTGAATTTAACACAATAATAGAACCATTACTTGAGCCCTTTGTAAGGAGAAGAAGTTGACAAATCCTGCTGGGAAAATAAATAGAGATATCATTGTAATCTCATAATTTGAATTCTCCCAGCTATGTCCTACAGTTACCTACACATTCATTTATTATCAATCACATTTTATAGCTAGGAATTCTTTTTTAAAAGAGCTATATCATTAAATATTTGACCCATGTTACATTCTCTATTGTTGTCTAGTCTATCAGATTTTATGTACAACATATTGCAGAAGGATAGAAGAGTGACCTGAAGCAAGTTTAAAATTCAGAATTCTGTCTTAAATGACCCACCTGAGCCTGTGCACGGCAGTGTGTTATTGTCTGTGTGTATGCCCATGTTTTCATGTCTGTATCTCTGTGCACAACAGGTTTCAGCTTGCCATGCCTATACTCTGACCTAATAAGCAAGCAGCCTAATTGGACGTCTATCATGCCCAACCAGGAAAGCTCCATTTCAGCTGATGCTATTCTCTCAGGAATAGCATTTGTCTACAATGGCTGAACAGCATCTGCCTGGTGTAATGTGGGCACACGCCTATGTACACATTTTTGTAGACACTAGAAACTCAGTTCTCTTCTCATCATATAAGTCTAAAAATATTACCCTCAAAAAAAGATTGATTGGGATTTCTTCCACTTGTTTTTATGGTGAACTGTACATCATTCAAACTTACTTTTTTTTTCACAGACAAGAAGCTCCTTGGATCTTACAATTGTGTTGCTGAGTCGTTTAGACTTTGCAGTTTCCTCCTGGTAGAATCCAGAGGTTTTTTAGGTCTTGTTTTTTTTAGGTGAACTTTTACTTTGTATTATTTAATTCCATCCTCGTTCTACTGTCATTTATACACCATAAAACTCCACAAGTGTTATTCAGAAAACAGTATGGTCCTTGAAAGTCCATTTAGTAATCTTGTCACACTCATTAATACCTCTTAGTGACTGTTATTCAATTACCTTTTCTCTAATTACTTAAATGCTTTCTGTTTGCTGATATGGATTAAATCCTCTGATGGGCTAGGCTTTTTTAATCAATATTTTATGTGTCATACATAGATGCGGCCAGTTAGGCTTAGCTAACAGCCAAATGTCCACACAACAGCTCATAAACCCTTCCTCCTCAACAGGGCATGGGCAGAACACAGGATTAGAAAGCTGGGTCAAGATAAAGACAAGGAGATTGATGCAATTCACTGTCACAGGTGGAATATAGGCACTGGGTAAAAAATTTATTTTTTATTGCCAACTTGGGTAGTAAGAAACAAGCAGATAAACTTTAAATCAACATATTTTCCCAATTCTTCTCAGGTCCTTCTCTTCACACTGAGCTCACCACCCTGAGCAGCACAGTGAGACTCTGCATTTGGTGTGTGTTTTACAGTTTGTACATAGCAGTTCCTTTCTGCCTCTCTTTCCTCATCAGCCTGTTCTTCTGCTTTTGCATTGTTTTTCCATCAGACATTGTTCCTTCATGAATATCCAACTGCTCCAGCATGAATCCTCCCCAGGCTGCAGTAGATAGGTATCCTGCCACGAAGTTTTTCATTCTCCTTCTCTGACCTCTGGATTTTCTTTATTGTTTGTCATACTCTTTGTATCCTCTTCCTCTCTCTTTTCTGAAACATGTCTCCCAGAGATGGCACCACGTGTCTCCAGTGTTAGGAGACAGATGGAATTGACTGTGTCTGGCACTGGCATCTTTCCACAGAGGCCACCCTTGCAGGCCCATCCTCTCCTGCCTCTGCCTCTCTGCTACCAAAACCTTGCCAACTGCACCCAATGTATTAGATTTAAACTTTCAAAAATACAATTGCAATACTTAGGATATAACATATTAATTTTATTTCAATTATGTGCTCCTTTTGGGACATTTTTTCCATATCAGATAATGAGGTCTTGGATGAAAGGGAGGAGTTTTACAAGTACTTTTTGAGAGGTATTCTTCATAATCTATAGATTTTGTGGCCAAGAGGTGACTAAATTCCTATGTTCTAATGTACTATATAATGCAGACTGCATGGTTCCAGCCCTTGCAATTTATCCTGTTCTGGTCCTAATAAATGATTTTTGACTAAAACTTATGTGTTTAATCTCAACCTCCATAGTGACTGCCTTCAGTTTGAGGAATGACCAAGTCCCTTCAGTGATACCCAGACATGTGAGAATTCTTAGGTAGTATTTGGGATGTATGTTTGAAGACATTCCATGAAACTTCAAGCAAAATGTTTGTGCTGTATATATAAATAAATAAAATAAATTAAAAAAAAGGAAGTAAAAGCTCACAGAAATATAAAAGTAAAAAACAAAATCCACCAAGCACAACCAGGAAATCTTTAGCAACATCTGAAAGATAAACAAATGAGAAAAATTTTGCATGATGTGGGAAAAAGAACAAATAAACTAGTTTGTTTTCCTCACAGAAAATTCCCCATGCATTCTTCATAAGTAAACCTTGATGCGTTGAATAAATACTAGATTCTTTTATGCATTTTTCTTTTTATTCTTATAAACAACTTCTGGACAAAATAAATTGCTTAGGATAATAAAACAAACAAACAAACAAACAAACCAATTATCCATCCAGCCATGTAGTCTTAATATATTTTTAAAAATATAGAGAATACAAGGCTTTTCTGGTTTTGAAAATTTGTTATACTCAGGTTTGTATTTCATAGCACCACCTATTTTTTTCTCTACACAATATATTCTATGTCCGAAACATAATCCATTCCAGTTGAATAAAGAACAGTTTTCTATTGACATGCTTGACAGAGATCTTCCAGTTCAGCAAGCAAATAGGACAGCAACACTACCACTCAAGTAAACTCATGCAAGGGAGTTATTCTGATTTACCAAAGCTCTGACATCATATTGACAATGTCTGTAAGTTACATTCAGACTCAATGGCACTGTTCAGTCTGAAGTTCAATCCTGGGCTAGCTGTCTACCAGGCTGTAGTCAGGAATCTGAAGAGATACTGCATGAAGAACCAATGTGAAATGACTGTTGTCAGGTATATATATTTCCCTCAGAATAATCTCAGGTGTCAAGACTGGATAGTGAATACTCAGGCTTCTTAGTGAAGTTGTAATAAATCTGTATCTGGATCAGCTGTTCAAATAGAAAACAAGCTGAGTAATTCCACTGTTGTTATCAAATGAAATATTTGCATAAAGGACAGTAAATTCATCCCCAAGTGCCTTTTTGAAAACTAGTGTGCTGTATTTCCTAACATTACTAGAAACATTTTGTATCACCCTCCAATAGTGGGACTAGCTCAAAAGATGAGCAATCAAATGTAGCTTAACTGCAGGTTAAAAAGGCAAAAGTCAATAAAGACAAAGGGCAAAGCTGTTAGCAGAAATTTATTGATGTCCTTCATTGCCTTGTCCAAGCTTTGCTCTTTATTGCTCTACCTCTATTCTTGCAAGAAGGAATAACTCAAGTCCACATATAGAAAATAAGCAGAGTACTTACCACCCAAATCTCACTTATTCCCTCATATCATCAGTTGCTTTTTGGAACATGTTGTTTTTGTTAAGTGAGGCTGTGGTTTAGTTCCAGAGGCATTCCTGTAAGTGAAGAAAGCACAGCCAAAGCCACCAGCAGTCTGATTTAACTTTCAACAGGCTAGACAGAGTTAATCCTCAGGAATTGTTACCCACTAAAGGAAGATGAAAGCCCAGGCTAGGGAGTTTGTGTGAACTTGAATCATTAAACAGACACTGATACAACGAAAAGGCATCCTGCTCTCTCATTGATGTTACATAGTACTGCTCTGAGTAATGACTCCAAAGATAAAAAGAAAAGGAAACAAGAAAATGAGGGGATTCATAAAAATCAGAGATGGAAAAACGTTGGTTTATTGTGACAAGTATTAAAAAAATATATACAATATATAATAAAGAACAAGAAACATGACCACTACAGGAGTCACTCTTGCAGGCCAAGGTATTCCATAGGATCACAGGAACTGTTTCGGTTTTTTTTCTCTGCAGGTTCTTGTAATTTATATGGTTCTGTTTTGATTATCATTAAACTGAAAGGGAGACAATCTTTTTACTACAATAAAGCATTCCTACTGGGAATTTGCACTCAGAAGAAAAGATGTAGTATTATGTTCAAACACAAGGTCTAGGCACTGAAATGTAAGTTTCTTTAATTCATCTTGTAGTCTGATGTTAATGCAAAAATTTAGGGGCTTTTCAAGAAGCCTAAAGTACCTCAATGAATTTTCACATAATTTTGTGTCAACCACCTCAAAATCTTGAGAACCTTCACATAGAAGAGTAGGAGAATTTGGAATGGCTCTAGGGCTTCACTTATTTATGCTTTGGTATTCTTTGTCCCTTGTCTGCTGTTTTTCCTTTTTGAGACTAGAATATATAATTTTTTTTGGGGGGGTGCAAGTAGGATTATTGTGGTGGTCATAGGAAGGGAAGGAAGAACAACTTTCTCCAATAGATTTATGCAAAGGAATAGGGTCAATGTTATAGGATGGGGAGAAATTTTAAAGGATATTTGTAGTACTGCATTGTCATAAATATTTAAATACAAAGTAAATTACATGCTTATCTACTGTGCACATGGCAGATATTAATGCCTGGCAATTATGAGATAGATGTATTGTTTAATCTAAAAGAGTTAAAAAAAATTGAAAAGAAGATTCATCCTGCTTTGTTAATTTCCAGTGACTATTCCTAATTTGATGCGATTTATTTGCCAAAAAAAAAATTATAAATAGAAGCAGATCATTATGAAGACAAGGGAATGGTTATTTTATTGACAGTTTGGATTAAGTTAATTTATGTATGTACTCATGTGGGGTTTTTATTTATTATCTGGCCTAAATTTAATTGTCAAATTTATTTCTCAGGCTGCTTTAAGATTCTTTTCCTCCGAGTGACCGTGATGTCTCCAGCCATCATTTTACTCTGTTGTCTTAATTTTAAAGCTTGTGATACTTTGTGTCCTGCCAATACACAACAGGAGAAGTTCTGAGATGTTTCCCACCTTCCTTTACACACACACATATCTGATTTTCTTAAAGTGTTTTTGTTTAATAGGAACATAAAATTTTCTGTCTCTGGGCGATAGATTCTGTATACATGTATATGTATACAGAATCCATGTGTCAAATGATGTTTTAATTGGAAAATACCAGTGCAAATGTATATGCCCTTGATAAGTTACATTCCTGTTAAGGTATGTAACTTAACCTGTTAAGTTAAAGGTAGTTGAGGGAAAAGTGCTAATGGATCAAAGAAATATATGTTCCCCGTGTTTACTGAAACTTCAGAGACTTTTAAGAAATCTGGTCTCTTAACAAGTCATAGAATCAAAACTGCAAATCCTAACAATTATTACCAGGTTCTCTGAAGATAGGACAGGGAGCCAATATATTTGATGATTAATTTGAACAAGAACTCAAAAGGGGTTGGTTTTAATGATTTTTTAAATATTATTTATATTGATATTGTTTCTTTCTTTATTTCTGACTTCTTGAAGATGATGGTGGAACCACCTGATTTATCTGATCTAAATCCAAAGTGTCTGAATTAATACAGACATTTGGAATTAGAACACAGCTTTATCGTTTCTTCATACATTTTCTCTCCTTTTCAAAAGGATGTTGTTTATTTATTGAAAGACAAAGTTCCAACGGAACATTTCTTCAGCAAAGATTTATCAGATCCAGCATGAACTTTGATGCATATATTTTTCAACCCATCAGAATATTAAGACAGTTGGAGCATTCAGGTGGTTAAAACCTAGATCTCTGTCCCTAGTTTCCCTAAAAAATCAGGAGTTTGAAGATCCATGCCATTTCATGATGGAGAATCTTAGACAGAATAAATTTTTTTTGTCTGTTCCAGTGAATTAAATCTTGGAAAAATTAAATCTTGCCTAATGATTTAAGTGTTGGAAAATTTAATCCTAGATGAGATTGCTGGATGGACAAAAAGCATTTTACACCACAGTGCACTGAGATTTTCCAAAGAAGGGGAAAGAAAAAGGAAAGGGAAAGGGGAAAGCAAAACAGAAAGAAAAGGGGGAAAGAAAAGGGAAAGGAGAAGGAAAAAGGAAATTAGAAAGGGAGGAAGAAAAAATAGAGAAGATAAAAGGAGAAAATGAAGAGAAATTAAGGCAAGTGAAAAGAACTAAGTTTTATTTTTGTTTTTATTGAGTAGCAAACAATACAGCTCAAGAACAAAAAGTTCTAAATAAAGGAACATTCATTTAAGCACATTATACTTGGTACCAATATGCAGCATCAATCATTTGAAGACAGATTAATTTGAAGACTGAGAGATTTTTAAAAATCTCCATGAAAATAATTATTTTCCTAGTGGGGTCAGAAGGAGAGGACAGGCTTATGAGGGCAGAGGGCAAAAAAAAAAAAAAATCCATCTTAATGTCTTCCTGCCTCCTTTAAAACTGAGAAAAAGCTTTGATTGTGAGAAAGAATAAGGATAAACAAAATAACTTGTTCCTACTTTGGTTTTGAAGTGAAGTATAGACTTCAGCACTTCACATTTCCTTATAGCCTTGGATCTCATTGTCAGCATCATAAGATATTCTGTACGTCTTTCCTGTAGTTTGCCCTTACCCTCACCTCAGATAAAATCCCTTTCATGGCACTACCAACAGGGTTTTGTGAAGCTCATAACTTCCAAACCCCTTTAAGACAGAATTTTGTAGTGTACAGGATCTGTCAAACAGATTAGTGAAGAGAGATAAAGTGGGTGCATTTGGGAAAGATATGTCTTTGAGAACATAGAGCAACTGTAAGCATGTTCAGTTCTTTGTCCAAGTCTTCTAGACTTTTCAAAGTCTGAGAAAAGTTTTCTTGAGGGATATGAATTTTACATGAGTTACCCTATTGTCACTGTATTTTCTTCTTTGGCAGTGTCACTTTTTTAGCTCTTTAATTCTATTTTCAATAAGTGATTTAATCACTAACATGTATGAGAGATATGGTTTTCTGTATTTCAGGTATGGCTCAATAATGGTTCATTTCTTAAAACTATGTGCCAGCTTTGATTCAGACTGGTGTATCAAAATAGTGTTTAGATAGAGTGGATTCTTCCTAATGTGCTTTTAGTAACTCAGCTTATGTCAGGAGCAAAGGATATGAAAAATACTGGCCCCAGCTGTCTTCTGTTCTAGCTTTAGCTATAATTTGCTAAATCAGCTTGGAGAAAATATTGTCATATCTAGTAAATTCTTTTGCTATGTAGCAGCCCAACTAAGAACATGATGCGTGAGCATGCAGCTGATGTAGATCAGCAAATTTTGCTGCTGCAGTTCTTCTGAAAATATGTTCAATAAATACAATTTTCTCTATTTTTTTTTTTTTTGGTGTGTGTTTTGGACTTTTATTATGTAGAAGATTAAAAAAATAGTAATTTCTCATTTATATCAGCACGCTTTTCAGATCCAGTTACAAAATATTTTATATTTTGTTCTGGACTACTTATTTTTCTGGCTTTTTAAAATTTATGTCATCATTTTCCCTGGTTAAGGATTAACTGGTGTTCCTATATATTGTCAAATCAAAAGAATGACAGTATCTCCTGTCCTGATTTTATGATTTCTATCTCTGATTCTCCAAAGTAAGGAACCTCAGTTTGTAAAATAGTCTAGGTGATGAGTGTTTTCTTCCACTTTTTCTAATAAGAAGTTCCTTAGCCATAAAGTGCTGATATTTCAGAAGAGAAAGAATTCATGACAGAAATCAGATAGCAGAAACTAGATTGAAGAGATCTCCAGAAATAATAGGTTTATGTTGCTACTACCTCTCAGCTTGGCATTAAATCTTTAAGTGTTTTATTTTAGTGTTGTTCTGGTAGTAAGAGTTTGAACTTCAGTTTTTCCCATGGGTAACGGTTCTAAGAGTCCACTGCATGAATAATTCATGCATATTCTTTTCTTCTCTCTTGCCTAAATACTTGGTAATTGCATGAAAACAGAATAAAATACATCAGGGCAAAATAAAAATTGCCTACTTTATGAAATAATACCACATTTAGTATTTTCCCATGGAAGTGAAGTCAAATCCTCTTATACTGAAGGAATTTTCTCTCCTTGGGACAAGAAATAAATGAAATAATGAATATTGGATATCACATTTCCATTGTTTTTGGCACTTACCTTGTGAACAGGCAGATATCTCTGTATTGCATTTGAGGAATAAGAACCTTCTTATAGCAATGAACAAGCTACGATAGTCTTCAAAGCAGTTGCGCTTAGTGCATCCTTCTCTGACATTACTCCTATGACTTTTATTGGAATCCTACTGAATTACTGTACTACCTTTCCTGTCTCCATCTTTCATGTGATTAATTCATTCTAGACAAGATAAGGAGGAAGCATCTCAGTCAAGAACAGAGATGATGGGAATTTAAGAAACTAGGTGCTGCGATAATAGCTTGAAACATTTAGTTCTTTTCAGAATGTACTTCTCAAATTCTTTGTGACTTCGTCTGGACAAAATAGTTCTTCCCTACTTTTCGGGAAAAATATCTGCAAGATATCCTCATCCACCCTGCTAGAGTGCATATCTTATATCACATCTACTTAGAAGGACAACATGAAATAGAAGAGAACTTTGGAACCTTGGACAGAGAATTTGAAATTGAAAAGGCATCTAGCAGTTCATCAGTTTTCAGAAAATTAACAAGGAACACAAATAAAGATGAATTCCTCAGCTTGGGACATTAGACATCAGCAATTCCTCAAATAAGGTGATAAAGAATTTAACATGCACTTTATAAAGAGAAAATTTTGTTTCTTTATAAATGGATTTATGTAGTTACAATGAATTAGTAAAAATATCCATGTCTTATATGGTGTTAATATTATTGCTAGTGTTGCTACTTTTGCTTCTACCACTGTTCTAGTACTACTAGTACTGGTATTGGTACTGGTACTATTACTGCTACTGTTATTGTAATTTCTATTATCTCTCCTTCCAGTCATGAACATGGATTTTATTATTCTATTTTCTTTTTCTGGTTTAAGGCTAAGACTTCTTTTTGTTTGTATCTTGTGTACAGTGTCAGAAATTCACTTGTTTCCTGTCTATGAAGCAATGAGAATTGCCAAATTTGGCACACAATGTTTCAACCTCTAAGAATAGAGAAGGAAGTCTTCTTAGGAAGTCTTCTAAATAACTGTCTCTGCCTCTCTTTCTCATGAACATGTTCATTCATATGTACACATATACCTGGAAATGAAAATGACACTCAAAGAATGTTTAAGGTGGCTACAGAAAACAAGGAATGAAAGGAAATGTTAGTCAAGGGTGAAAAGTACCATATGTCTTCAAAAGCCTTGGCACAATGGGGAGCCACCTAAATAGTTTTCTTAATGCACCCTGTCGTGCCTAGGTATTGATGGACATATGGTACATTTCACCCTGAACTGTGAATTTCCTGAAACAGCTGTAATGCTCTTTAAATGTTTTTCTGGATAATGACACATTCACAGCATACATTATATAACCATTCCTCCCTGACCCTTCAGGTGGCCCATGTACTTTATCAGTCTATAGAAAACAGGATATTAGTGGATCATTCATCTTCTGGTTGCATAAATATGTCTTATTCATTGTCATATTCTACAGAGGCTTAAAGTTTTCAGTGACTGCACCATGAGAAGGCCAGCAAGGTATTGAAGATTGCTGTCCTCTGGTAAGATCACAAACAAGTTTAAGATACAGACACATAAATAACAAAATTAAGCATGAGTAGTTCTTTGCTTTAATAATTCTATGGTTCATTTCCTTACTCCTATTTTTACAAGAAAATTGGGAAAAATACATGGGTATATATGAAAAAATCAATGATATTGGTATATATATGTTATTATCCTCATAGATTTAATATCTCTGTGCAACCCATCTTGTGACTCATCCTTTATACATGACACAGAATCATTCATTTTTCATTTCACTGCTGACTGGTAAAATATAATTTCTTTATTTTTATGATCAGTTACTGGCAGTGTGAGATCTAACTTATAAATCTGCTTGAGTAAATAGATTGGTTTATTTAGAGGAGAAGTTATATTATCTGTAAGAATCTCTCTTGTTATTAAAAAAAACCCAACAGATGTAAAATTTTCAGATTTAAAAACTTTTTAAAAATAATCATTTGGTCTAATACTGATTTTCTTACATCAGAAACATTATTTGAACACCCTTCTTACAATTCTTTAGGGGAGTTACTGACTGATGAAAGATTTTAAGTCAATAAAGTTTTAAAAATGGTTACTGCTTTTTTATTGTTACTGCCCTTTACTTTTGTTATCACCTCCTTTATATGAAATGGACAGTATATTTTACAAGTCATCCATCTCTTCATCACTTCTGTGAAGCAATGAACTGCACAACCAGAATTTGTGTGTGAGAAAACCAATCGGGCAGCTGAATGGATTACAGAGATTGGTACCATAGCTTTACATTAACTTCATCTCTTTCCTGAAACCTTAGTTAACATTTCCAAACACAATTAAAAATATGCATCAAAACAATAAAAAAACAGTTTTCCCACCATGTATTTTATAGAAGTTTTATAGACTTTGTTATCTAATCACTGATTCCAGAACTACATGCCAGAATATCATGTTAAAGGGCTCTCATATGTAGAATGAAACTGTTCCTTTATAAAAGTAACTGTTTCCAGAAATACTGGGATCAATGAAAATACAAATAAATTTTTTATTGTTTTACCCCCAAAAGTAAAGACTACTGAAAAATGTTTAGATTTTTTTTTCCCTGCAGAGGTTATATTTTAGGATTTTTTATGTGCCTGAGTTACACTCAATGTGCTGCTCTGAAAATTGAGATTGCCGTTTCCCCCGGATTTTTAAATTAAGATAATCCTGTCTCTTTCATAGGCCTTACTCATGCAAATACTCATTTCTTGTTCAGAGAGTACTTCTACCCACCCAAATTTCAAATAAATCATGTCCTATCAGATGGTGCATCAGTTCTGTCCCAACTCTCTATTTTCACATGTGAGTGACAAAGCAGATCCACCCCCTCATTTAATTTTACCTTCTATTCTGTCCTCCTGATTCTTCTGGCATGCTTCAGCATTTTCTTGATGCCTGGGTAGTGAAGTTGCAAGGTCCTCCCACCTTTTCAGGAGGAGGAACTGCGCTGAGGAGGAGTAAGTAATGGAGGAAACAGAATAAAATACAGCAGAGTTTTCCTGAAGCAGAACTGGCAGTTCTTGTCTTCCAGAGTAATGCAAATGTGGCAGGCAGCTGGTTGAACAAATTTCCTTTTCCTCTTTCAAGTAAGATTAAAATTTGTGAAAATACTAGAATTATTGCTTTTGTATGAAAATAATAAAAAAATATACTTACCTAATCTCATTGACAACAGAAAATACAAGCTATATTCTTCCAAGGAGATGTGTTTCTCCTGTAGAATCATCAGTGTAAAGATTCTGATGACCACAAAGTGGTTAGATTTATATCCAATATGATATACTTTAATTATAAAAAAAATTAGTATCTTTCATTGTTTCAGAAAGCAAAGAACTTAAATGATCTGATTTTCAAATATTGAATTAAAGGGTTTATAACATTTGTGGTTAAAAATGACACTAATGATACAAAATCATATTATGATTACTTAAACAAAAATAAAAATCACAAGTAAACATTCTGATAAAATTTTTTACGTTTAATTATTCAGGCTCTTCATGCTGGCACAGGAAAACACACCTAATAGGACAATAGTGAAGACTTTCTCTGGTATGGATATAGAAAACTTGTCATTACAGAGAAGGCTGAATCTCACAGTATTACACCCTGAGTCTCATTAGTAACTTAAATTTGTACTTATATCTTAACAGAAATGGGCTTGTTAATTTAAAACTCAAAAAATGCTGGAAAACATGCTTCAAGCTCAGGTGGTTTGATTTTCAATATCTTTAAATGGCTTGGATAGTATTGTCTGCTTCCATATTTTATATATAAAATCTGCAATCAATATAAAAAACTGGCAACAAAATCTTAACATTTCTCTCCACTTGTCCCCAATTTGCCAACTTTCCAGCACAGCACTCCCTAATTGTATACTCAAACACCAGCTGCCACATATAAAAGTATTGATGGAAATGAAAACTGCGGAATTTAGCAGCAAACAAATAGGGAAATGAAAGATTTATGAACACAAGTTAATTTTTGACATTGTTAACATTAGAAAGTAGTTCCATCTAAACTTCCTGTTGTACTCCAAATAGCTAACCTAAGACCCCAGTTGCTGCACACATGCACAGATTAAAATTGCTATGAAATTAGTTTAAACTACACCTATCCACAAATTGTTTTTCAGATTGTCATGCTATGTAAAAATCAGCCTTGGAAAATATTGAATTTTAAAGATTGTTGTAGACCATGTGAAGACTTCCTGCCCCAGAAAATATTAGGATCTACTGTAAATAGTAATAGTCAAATAGAAATACAACTAATACAATACAAGGTACTGATTTATAGATCCTGATGCTTTAGACAGCAATAATTTTTATTCAAAATAATCACAGTTGTGAAAAGAGAGAACAAAAAGACAAACCTTCCTTATTAGATGGCAAATGTGTCCTCTAATTACCAGAGACACACCTTCTCATGGGAAAAGATTACTTGTTCTTTTGTAAACAGAAAGACAATAGAGAGCAGCATTATTATCACATAAAAACAAATCTAGACAACCTAGAGGCCCACAGCTCATTCTATTTAAGCAACATTGGGCAAGAAATAGTTCAGTTCTTTAAAGATTCACACCCAGATTCACAAATTCTTTTAAAAAATAATTTCAAAAAAAGCATAATGTATTTTATCGATTCATTTAAAAAATTCATTTTTCCATTGCAAAATATTACCTCTATGCGAACACGAATTTTAATATTCTAGATCAGTAGCTACTAGCAAATAATATTCTTTGATATTGATATTGATATGTAAAACTCAGTGCATTACACCGGTCCTGCAGATCCTTGCTCAAGAAATAAAATGTCTAAAATGGGAAATCAGATGAAGCTCATATATGCTTCTGCATTCTTTGCTTGCAAGAAGCTGGTTATTCTTTCATAAAAGAACTTCAAAATTTTGGTAAGATTTTTATTCATCCCCATTTTGTTGCTAAAATCAGAAAATTTAACTGGCTTTTCATTTACTTGGAAATGCACATATTTTTACACCTATTAGAAAAATTTTGATAAAAATAGATGCATCTAGGTGTTAAAAATGGAGCATCCACAAATTCCTACTGCCATCTGTTTGTAGTAGCTTGGAATTGCAAGTCATTATCATTTGCATATCATTAAATAATTCAGTGCTTGAGTTATGGCAACATACCAGGAGAGAGACTTAAAAGGGAAATAGAGTATTACTAAAATCACTTGCAAGACACTAATTGTGGAACAATATCTTCAGCGGGAGATGTGGGTATATTTGGAGGTGTTCTTGCCCATCTCTCTAAATTAAGAGTATATTCTCTATTTTAAATAAAAGATATTCAGAAAGAACCAGAATTTAATAATCCCTAAACATGCCAAATAGTACTTTTTTTTTTTTTTTTTTTTTTTTTTGCACTAAAATCACTTGCAAGACACTAATTGTGGAACAATATCTTCAGCGGGAGATGTGGGTATATTTGGAGGTGTTCTTGCCCATCTCTCTAAATTAAGAGTATATTCTCTATTTTAAATAAAAGATATTCAGAAAGAACCAGAATTTAATAATCCCTAAACATGCCAAATAGTACTTTTTTTTTTTTTTTTTGCACTATCCAGTTGAGGACTTAGGTGCCTAAAAGCTCTTCACAGGAACACAGATTTTCCATCCATTTGGACACAGCCCAGCCCTGTATTTGAGTAAGGTCCTGTGAGCATATTGGCAGGGGTGAATGACTTCTGGCTGGACCTCAAAAGAGTAGCACCTCTGAGCATGAAACTGCTTAAATTTTACAGCCAGCTGCTTAGGCAAGCACTGGGCTCTATTTGAAATCTGTCTGGACCTGATGCATTCACATCAGGATTACAAGAGAAGAGCTTCTCTCTGAACCTGGACTTACAGCTTGAAGACATCCCTTCAGTATCCAAACTCTGTCACCAGTGTGAATAAGGTCACTTTCATGTGACAGCCCAAATAACTTAGCTGTACAGAAAGCAGGAAGCTCATGGTTAGCTTGGCTGGGCTTGCACTCCCAGATGTCCTCCCAGGAGACTTTTCCCCCTCGGCATGATTCTCTCTGAGAGCAAGAAGTGGGCGTTCATCTACTGAAGATGAAAAGCAATAAATCAAGATTGAGCTCAAGAGAGGCCATGCCTGGTACTGTTGGGCAATTGGCTACAAGATAAGGACCCTTGTATGCAGTTTTCTTTTCAGGAGTCTTCTTTTTGCAAGAATCAGCCTTACTGTCAAGATGGTTTAGCTCCTGATGGATGCGCAGGTCTTCTGTGTCCTGGGCAAGTGTTTTGACCAAGAGTGTATTCAGTGTCAAAGCTGGTAACAATACTGAACACCAGCATAGGTTAGAAGTGCAGAAGCCGATGCCTGTGAGGTGTATGGTGACAAAATATCTCAGGACACTCAAGATCTGGGGACCTAATTCTCGTATGTATAAATGCTTCCTTGGTAACAGGCCTTCGCCCCCTATGAACCATTCTGAAAATGCTCCCGAAGTGTATGTTTTCAATAGTGTAAATATCCAGTCCAGGGTTATTAATTCTTCTCATCAGGAAATAATACAGAGTTTACAGCAAATGAATAGTGAAAAGTGTTTTTTTGCATAATCACTAATATTGTCTTTTGGTTATTCTATTTTCCTTTTTATGTCTGATTTTCTAAGAGATAATCCTTTTATGCAATGTAAATATTTTTTAAAGCAGAAATGTCAGCTTTGAAACCAGCCACCATAAGTAATGTCTTTTTAAATTAAAATAATGGATTAATGTTCTGTTTCAAAACAAAACAAACACTGAGAAACACATTATACTAATGAAACAGATCAATATAGGTAGAAATTACCCAGAATTTTTATGTATCTTCTTCCTTAATATAGAGACAACTTTTCCCTTTTTTTTTAACACATACAGAAAAAAAAGCTTTACCTGCTTTTTAGTCTGTGAGGAGAGATTACAGTAATAATTTTCTGACATAGTAATAGCATTGCACATTGTGTCTACTGACATATGCTATTTCTTCATGCTCCCAGTTTCTCAAAATCAAGGTTCTTACTCTGTGCTCAACTCATTTTCTCTCTTCTCACTGGGTTTGTTTTCCAGATCTCAAAAGGTGCTTTAGGGAGAATTCCCCCACAAAAAAATTGGTGTTCTGAGATAGACAAAGCACAACAGCCCCTGAAATGAGCACATGCCTGTGTCCCCAGCTTCTGTGCTTTGCTGAGAAATAACAGCATCTCTGGTTTTAGGGAGGTAGATAGGGGGGTAGAGGGCCATACTCTAATCCCTCTGCTGGGATAAACCTATCTTTAAATGGATTTTTTCCCCAACAAGAGTGCTTTAAGGGTGATAAAAAGGATAAGGTTGGATGTGCAAAACCAGGAACCGTAGCCAAGGATTGCTGAGGCAGAACATTGCAATTCTTGGGAGGCCGCTGTCTGTAGAAACTGCTCTGCCACTTCTGCAATTTTGCCATCAAAATCTCATCATGCTGTTGCCCCAGGAAACTTCTTGCTTTGCCTAAGGACATCCCTAGTGCCTAGAAGCACACAAGCCAGATTTCAAACTGGCCCTGTTCCCATTTCTGACACCTCTGTTGCATCCCGGCATCCGCATCACTTTGAAATGGTTCAGAAATTGCTAGCAGTGAAAACTGTAGTAGCTGGGTCTCTTCTGCCTAAAACATACATCCTGCAAAAGGTATTATTGACTAGTCATTTAGTAAAATTTGGCTTCATTCCATCTGGTTAATTCATGTTAGCTGAATCTGATCTAAACAACTTCTTACTGTAATCAAAAAGGCATAGCAGGAGATGTGAATGACAGTCTTTATAGTTCTTATGGTGGAAATGTTTTCAATTAAGTAATATTTACCTTAGGAAAATGTCACAGATTTCCTCCTGCCCTTTAGATTACTATTGTTTGTTGAAGGCAACTTTTGCAAGACTGTGTAAAATGCTTATTTGTTTGGCTATATTTGTGCAATGTTGCGAGTCAGAAATGTTATGTCTTTGACACTGAAAGA